TTTTTTTTTTTTAATCACATGGACTTTCTGTGTACCATGTTGAAAATCAGTGGTGAAAAGGGACATTCTTGGCTTGTTCCAACATTATCAGGAATGCTCTGAGTTCTTCACCATCAAGTAAAAAATGTGTACAATTTTTGGTGTATTTGTTTTTAATCAGGTTGATAAAATTCTCCTCTCTTCCTAATTTAATGAAAGTTTTTGTTCACAAATGGATACTTGATTTTGTCAAATGCATTTTCTGCATCTATTGATGTGATCATGTGATTTTTTTCTTCTTTAGCCTGTTAATATAATAAATTATATAATTGATTTTTGAATGTTGAACCAGTCTTGTAAACCTGAAATACATTCCACTTGGCTGTGGCGCCTAATTTGTTAATGCAACATCAAATTCAATTAGCTATTTTTGAGAACTTCTGCACCTATATTTGTGAGATGTATTGCTCTGTAGTTTTCTTTTCTTGTAATGTTTGTGTGCTTTGGGTATTAGGATGATGCTGACCTCATAGGAGACAGGAACTATTCCTGCTGCTTCTATTATTGTAGGAAATTGTAATGAATTGGTATAAATTCTTACTTAAGTGTTTTATAGAATTCACCCATGAACCCATCTTGGTTTGGTGTTTTCTGCTTTAGAAAGTTATTATCGATTCATTTCTTTGACAGATGTAGACCTATTCAGATGATCTATTTCTTCTTGTGTGAATTTAGGTAGATTGTATCTTTCAAGGAATTGGTCCATTTCTTTCAGGTTATTAAAATTGGGGACATGGTGTTGTTTGTGATATTACCTTTGGGTCTTTTTAAGGTCAGTGGGGTCTACAGTGATGTTCCATCTTTGATTTCTGATATTAGTAAATTGTGTCCTCCTTTTTATCTAAATTAGCCTGGCAAGGGACTCATCAATTTTACTAACTTTTTTCAGAGAAACAGCTTTTGTTTTTGTTGATTTTCTCTCTTCATGTCCCGTTTTAAATTTCACTGTACCCTACTTTTACTATTTATTATCTTCGTATTACTTTGGATTCAATTTGCTCTTCTTTTTCTAGTTTGCTAAGGTAAAAGATTAAATGATTGATTTAAGATATTCTTCATTCATCTCTAAGCCTGCTTTTACTGCATCCATAATATTGGATGTTATAATTTTATTTTCACTTAATTCAAACTATTTTTAAATTTCTCATGAGATTTCATCTTGACTCATATGTTTCTTAGAAGTGTATTGCTTAATCTTCACAGATTTTGGGACTTTCCAATGATCTTTTTGCTATTGACTTCTAGTTTAATTCCACTGTGGTTTAAGGACAGATATTGCATGATTTTCATTCTTTCAAATTTCTTTTATTTTTATTTATTTATTTATTTATTTTTTTATTTTTGAGACAGTGTTGCTCTGTTACCAAGGCTGGAGTACAGTGGTATGATCTCGCTCACTGCAACCTCTGCTTCCTGGGTTCAAACGATTCTCGTACCTTGGCCTTCTAAGTAGCAGGGATCATAGGTGTGTGCTATCACGCCTGGCTAATTTTTTTTTTTTTTTCGTATTTTTTCTTTTCTTTTTTAGACGGAGTTTCACTGTTGTCGCCCAGGTTGGAGTGCAATCTCAGTTCACTGCAACCTCAACCTCCTGGGTTCAAGCGATTCTCCTACCTCAGCCTCCTGAGTAGCTGGGATTATAGGCACGTGCCCCCACACCCAGCTAATTTTTGTATTTTTAGTAGAGATGGGGTTTCACCATGTTGACCAGGATGGTCTCAATCTCTTGACCTCGTGATCCACCCACCTCAGCCTCCCAAAGTGCTGGGATTACAGGCGTGAGGCACTGCACCCAGCCTTTTTTTTTTTGTATTTTTGTAGAGACGGGGTTTCACCATGTTGTTCACCATGTTGATCAGTCTGGTGTCAAATTCTTGACCTCAAGTGATCTGATTGCCTTGACCTCCCAAAGTGCTGGAATTACAGGCCTGAGCCACCACACCTGGCCTTAAATTTCTTAAGATATCTTTTATAGCCCAGAATGTGGTCTATCTTGGTGAATATTCTATACGAGCTTGGGAAGACTTTGTAGTCTGTTGCTGTTTGATGTAGTAGGTTACATCTGTTATACTGTTGATTGATAGTGTTGTTGAGTTTTCAACTATGTCTGATCAAATTTTGCCTGGTGAATCTGACCTTTTCTGATAGAGGCATGTTGAAGTCTCCAACATAATTGTGGGTTTGTTTACATTAAGTATCCACTTAAGATTGTCCATAGGTTCTTAGAAACTGATTTTAAGCAAAACAATGTGCTATGTACCATAGTAACTATTGTTTATACCAGTTATCTATAGTGAAATTGGTTTCATTATACAATACATAATTTTACTCAAAATTATAATTTCCAAGAACCTGTAGACAACGTCAAGTGAAGACTTACTGTATTTCTCTTTGCAGCTCTATCATTTTCCCCTCACATATTTAGACACTCCATTTTTACATGCTTACATGTTAAGTATTGTTCTGTTTTGTAAAAGGATAATTGGATAACTGATTCCTTTGTTATTATGTAAAGACTTTTTTATCCTTCATTAATTTCCTTGCTTTGAAGTCTGCTCTGTTTGAAATTAAAATAGGTACTCCCACTTTCTTTTGATTAATGTTATCAGTGTATGTCTTTGTCAGTCTAATTACTTTTAATCTGTATGTCTTCATATTTAAAGTGAGTTTCTTATAGACTACATATAGTTTGGTTCTTGGTTTTAATCCTCTAACAATCTTATTATTATCTTTTGAGATGGGATCTCATTCTGCCACCCAGGCTGTAGAGCAGTGGCTTGAACGTGGCTCACTGTAGCCTCAACCTCCTGGGCTCAAGAGATCCTTCTGCCTTAGCCTCCCATGTAGCTGGGAACACAGGCATGAACTAACATGCCTGGCTAATTTTTTGATTTTTTTTTTTTTTTTTTAGAGATGAGCAACTTTGTTGCCCAGTCTGGTCTCAAACTCCTGGACTCACTTGATTCTCCCATCTTGGCCCCCCAGAGTGCTGGGATTACAGGCATGAGCCACCATGCCTGGCTCATTTTGGTCTTTTAGTTGGTGTATTTATATCATTGACATTCAAAGTGATTACTGATATAAATGAAAGAATACTGACCATATTTGTTACTATTTTCTATTTGCTGTCCTTGTTCTTTGATCCTATTTTTATATACCACTTTTTGTCTTCCCATTTTGTTTTAATTGAGCATTTTATATAATTCCATTTTCTCTCATATCTTAGCTTATTAGTTGTACTTTTTAAATAAAAATTTCAGTGGTTTTCCTAGCATTTGCAATATATGTTTAAAACTAATCCAAGTTTATATTTTAGTAACACTTTATTAGTTCACAGATTATGAGTACTCTTATAATACCAAAATGACCCTAATTCTTCTTTCCTACCCATTGTATCACTGCTGTCATTTACTCCACTTATCTGTAAGCAAACATACACATATGAATAAGCATGTGCATTATATATAATTAAACACATGGTTTCTATTATTGTTTTGAACAGTTTTCTATTAAATCAATTTAGAATAAAATTTTTTTTATTTAACCTTAACTGATTTCTTCTCTGATGTTCTTCCTTCTTTATATCCAAGTTTCTGACCTATATCATTTTCCTTCTCTCTAACAAACTTCTTTTAACATTTCTTGCAAGGAGGGTATACTGGCAAAACAGTCCCTCAATTTTTGTTTGTGTGATGGTGTCTTGATTTTGACTTAACTTTTGAAAGATAATTTTACATGGTACAGAATTTTTAAGTTGGTGTTTTATTTTTCTTAACAGTTTAAATATTTCACTTCACTCTCTTCTTGCTTGTATGGTTTCTGAAGAGAAGTCTGATGTAATCTTTTCTACTCTATAAACCAGGTTTGCTTTTCCTTTTGTTTCTTTCAGGATGTTTTCTTCATCTCTGATTTTCCAGACTTTGAAAATAATAAACCTCTGCATAGTTTTTCTGGCATTTATCCTTCTTGGTGTTTTCTGAGCTTCCTGGATCTGAGGTTTGGTGTCTGACATTAATTCGATAAAAATTCTCCATACTTATTATTTGAAATATTTCTTTTGTTCCTTTCATTTTCCCCTTCAAGTATTTCTATTATAAACACTTATGAAATCCTTCCAAAGTTCTTGGTTATTCTGTCTTTTTCTTTCTTTTGTCTTATTTTTCTTTTTTTTTTTTAATTGAGATAAACTTAGAGATTGTTTCCTCAGCAGTGCTCTGTCTAATAATAAATCCATCAAGGCATTTATCATTTCTGTTACAGTTTTCTTATCCTTACTGTTTCGTTTTGGTTCTTAGAATTTTTATCTTTACTTACATTGCTAATCTTTCTTACATGCTGTCTACATTATCCATTAGATTGCTTAACAAATTAATAATAGTTGTTTTAAATTTCCATCCCTGATATTCCTTGATATATCTGGATCTGGTTTTAAGTCTTATTCTTTCCATACTATGTTTATTGCCTTTTAGTATGTAACTTGCAAATTTTTCTTGACAGCCACACAAAATGTATTGGGTAAAAGGAATTGCTGTATATAAGCCTTTATTAATGGGGTGTAAGGTGCTGAAGAAAAAGTAACATTCTATAGTTCTATGATAATGTCTCAATCTTTTAGTGAGCCGGTATCTCTGGACTGTGAACTTCAAACATGCTTCTCAGTTTCTGTCTCCCACTCCTTAGGTAGAATGAGATGGCTTGAGGGGGCTGGAGTTATATATTTTCCTCCCTCCCAAAGGAAGGCTAGAGACAGCTGGGGTTTAGTTTCTGTAGCTTCATTTTTTTTTTAAATAATAGAAAAATATTTTATGCCCCAATGAAAAGAATAAATAGAATTTTTCTCTGAATATTTGTGTGTGTAACTTGTTTTTCTTTCTTTTAAGGTATGCATACTGGAGATAAAAAATGTAAGATGTTTTACATATTTAAAATAATAATCTACTCTCTTTTTTCTCTTTTCACAGAAGGGTCTACTTGGGCTTATCTACGGCTTTAAGATTCTCAGCACTTGTTTTATATATCGTATTCATTTTTGTTATGAAGAAAAAATTTCAAGGAAAGGATACCAAGGCATCAGACAATGAAAGAAAAGTAATGGATGAAGCAAACTTAGAATTCTTAAATAACGGTGAACATTTTGTACCTTCTGCTGGAGCAGACAGTAAAACATGTAATTTGGACATGCAAGACAATGCTGCTGCCAACTAACATTGTATTGATTCATTAAGATGTTATTTTTGAGGTGTTCCTGGTCTTTTCACTGACAATTCCAACATTCTTTACTTGTAGTGGACCAATGGAAAAGACTATGAATTTAAATAAACTATAAAAAATGGGAGTTCCTATGGTTAGGATATAGCTATGCCTTTATGGTTAAGCTTAGAATATATGATCCATAAAAATTTAAAGTGAGAAGCATGGTTAGTATGTAATACAATAAAAAGTAATTGTTTTGTAGTTGTAACTGCTAATAAAACCAGTGACTAGAATATAAGGGAGGTAAAAGGGAGAAGATAGAATAATAGCCTAAATAAAGAGAAAAACCTGATGCCTAAAAAAAAAAAAAAAAGAAAGAAAGAAAGAAAGAAACACTTTAGATGTATTACTTTGGCCAAAATCTAGCCTGGATTTATGCTATAATGATATATACTTTTCATGTTAAGTTGTATATTTTTCAGAAATTACAAATATTATTAATTTTAAAATTTGAATTTGTGTTTGACTAACAACCTCGATGGATCTTCTTCCAACCTCCCATTAAAATCCTGCAGGAGAATTGTGAGACAATATATTATAATACGTGTTAAGTTTCTACTGGACCCATGGAAGTAGATAAGAAAAACTGACTTTAACTTGAGAAAGCAAAACCTATTGATAAGATATGTCTTCATTGCATCTGTCTGTTCTCTGGGAGAAGGAAAATATGTGTTACTCTCTTGCATACTTGTTTGTTTATTCATTGTGCATAAAAGGATATCTTCCACATCTCCAAAGCTGGACAAGAAATAGAGAAAATAAGACCAAATATTTAAATATTGCATTTTCTAGTAGTGAGGCAGAATATTTCTTGGCCTCTTCACTGGACTTGCAATAGAGGTGCCCTCTTTATTTGGTCTGCCATGCTCAATGCTTTGCGGAAGGGAGCATGTGAGTGACCAAGTGCAGGACCATGTGGGTCATTCTGGTCATCAACTCAGAAACAAGCTCTGTGAGTTTCCTGTGGCCAGACCAGCTGCAAGCGAGTGAATGCTGGACCTGGCCAACCACTCCAGGCACCAAAACAGGAGTGAGTTCCATGCAGGCCTGGCAGCCACACAAGGTGCAAGGGTGCTCATGATCCTGAAGCCCCGGTGGGGTTGTTACGGTGCTCCTTTAGTTCCACCGTCTACAGTCTGACAGATGGCGGCATGTTTGCAGCTCAGTTGGCCCCTTGTCTCTTTACCTGGGATGGCTACCCGCTGCCAGTAAGGGCAAAAACCAGTGTGACAGCCTTTTCTGGGTACCTGCATTTAGTGGAGGCCCTTATCTGCTGTCCAAGAAGAATGAGATCACATTGACAGGTGAAGGGTGGTGAAGGTGGAGAATTTTAATGAGTAATGAAAAAGACTCTCAGTGGAGAGGGGTGCTGGAGAGGGGATGGGAAGGGCAGGTTGTCTTCCCTGAAGTCCTGCTGTCTCTTCCTCGAATTCAGGGTGTCTTCCCCACTCCACCAACTGAGTCTGGGGTCTTTGTAGGCACAGGATGGGGAGTGTGTGCTGATTGGTTTCTGAGTATGCAAAAAAGGTTACAGTGAAGGCACCACTCAAAGGTGGGCATGACAGTATAGAAAACCAATTAGGAAAGGGTAGTTATATCTAAAATAGGTGAAGGGTGGGGACCAATCAGAGGAAAGTATGCCAAATAAGAAGACAACTTCTCAGTCTGGTCTAAGGATTTCACTCGTAGCCTGGCTTTTGGACTTTAAACTGTCTTCAGCTTGGAGGCGGGGTTTCACTGGGAGCCTGCCCCTATCTGCCTAGGCATTTGGCTGTCTCTTGTCACTATCAGGAGCACCATCTCTACCTAGTGAATGCTAGAGGTTGTAGTTTATAATTCTCAATTGGTTAAAAGATATTTTGTATCAAATCAACTGTAAAAATACATTTTAAAAGAAATATATTTATAGACCTACTTTAGAGATTCCAAATTCAAACATGTGTGATGTAGCTTGGATATCTTTAAAACATTCCACATGATGCTAGTATTCCTTTGATAGACCACCGTGGTACAGGAGAAGGTATAACTGAGGGTAGCAAAGTCACACAAAATTATTACTAGAATATGGGAACTGGCCTGGAAGATATATATATATATCTTTATACCTGTTCTCAGCCTGTAATCCTGAAAAAAAATTAATCACACAAACAGAAATTTGGGGTAACCCACATACATGCTAGGTTTGTAGGTATCATATAATAAATCTAACAAATCGTCATATAGCAACTAACATACACACACATATAATCATACATATTTATTGAATACAATGTGATGTTTCAATACATGTATACATTGTGTAATAATCAAATCATGGTTATTAGCATATCCATCACCTTACACATTTATCATTTCTTAATTGTGAGTACATTCAAAATCCTCTCTTCTAGCTTTTTGAAATTTACAATGCGTTATTGTTAGCTATAGTCACCTTACTGTGAAGTAAGTACCAGCAACTTATTCCTCCTATCTAACTGTAACATTGTACTCATTGACCAACTCCTCCCCATCTTCCCCTTCCCTGTTTTTCCTGTCTTTGGTAACCACAATTTTACTCTTAATATCTATGAAATCAATTTGTTTAGATTCTTCACATGAATGACATCATGCAGTACGTTTCTTTTTGTGCCTGACTTATTTCCCTTAACAGGCTCCAGGCTCAACAATTTTTTTGTAAATGACAGAATTTCATCCTTTTTTTGTGGCAGAATGGTAGTCCATTTTGTATATATGCCACATTTTCTTTATCCATTTCTCTGTTGATGGCATTCAGGTTGATTCCATGCCTTGGCTAAAATGAACAGTGCAATTAACATGGGAGTGCAAAATGACTCTTCAGCATACTTATTTCATTTTCTGTGACTATATGCCCAGTAGTGGGATTACTGGATCATATGTTGTATCTATTATTAATTTTTTTAGGAATATCCATGCTGTTTTTCATAATGGCTGTAGTAATTTCCATTCCTAACAGTGTATAAGACTTTCCCTTTTTCCACAGTATTGCCAGCATTTCTTCTTTTCTTTCTTTTTTTGTTTTTTTTGTTTGTTGTTTTTGGTCTTTTTGATGACACCCTTTCTAACTGGGGTGAGGTGATATCTCATTTTGGTTTTTATTTGCATTTCCCTGTTTGTTAGTGACTTTCAGCATTTTTTTTATATAACTGTTGTCCATTTCTATATCTTTCTTGGAGAAATATCTATTCAGGTCTTTTGTCCATTTTTAAATTACATTATTTTTCTATTGAATTGTTTGAATTCCTTATAAATTCTTGATAATAACCTCTTGTCAGATGTATGTTTTGCAAATATTTTCTCTCATTCTGTATGTATTCTCCTTAGTCTATTGTTCCCTTTTCTATACAGAATATTTTTAATTTGATGTAATTACTGTATTTTTGCTATTGTTGCCTGAGTTTTTGAGATCTTGTCTAGTAAATCATTGCCCAGACTGAAGTTATGTAGCATTTCTCCTTGTATTATTCTAGTAGTTTCATAGTTTTAGGCTTTACGTTTGAATCTTTAATCTATTTTGAATTGAATTTTGTATATGGTGAGAAATAGAGGTCTAGTTTTATTCTATTGTATGCAGATATTCAGTTTTTTTCAGTATCATTTGTTGAAGAGAGTGACCTTTCCTCAATTTGTGTTCTTGGCATCTTTTTCAAATCAATTGGTTGTAAATGCATTAATTTATTTCTGGCATTTCTGTTTTGTTCCATTGGTCTTTTTGTCTTTTCTGTATTTTTAGCCAATACAATGCAGTTTTGGTTACAATAGCTTTGTAGTATATTTTTAAGCCAAGTTGTATGATGTCTCTAGCTTTGTCTGTTTGCTCAGAATTACTTTAGTTATTCAGTCTTTTGTGAATGTCCAGTAATGTATTGAATAGGACTGGTAAATGTGGGGAATTTTATCTTGTTCCAGATCTTAGAGGAAAAGCTTTCAACTATTCCTCATTCAGCATTGTACTGCCTATGGATTTGTCATATATGGGCTTTGTTATGTTGAAGTATGTTCCTTCTATACCTAATCATTGAGAGCTTTTGTTATGAAGAGGGACTGAATTTTGTCAAATGGATCTGCATCTATTAAAATGATCATATAATTTTTGTCTGACTCTATTGATGTGATGTATCATGTTTATTGATTTACATATGTCGAAATATGCTTGCATCCCTGGGATGAACCGCACCTGATTTTTAAAATATGTTGTTAAATTTGATTTGTTGACATATTTTTCATCTAAGTTCATCAAGGGTATTGGCCTGAAATGTTTTCGTTGCTGTTGTGTCTTTCTCTGGTTTTGGAATCAGTGTGATGATGGCTTCATGTAATAAATTTGAAAGAGTTCTCTCCTTTTCAATTTATTGAAATAGTTTGTGAAGAATTGAATTCATTCTTTTAAAGATATTTTGTAGAATTTAGCCGTGAAGTCGTCATGTCTTGCACTTTCCTTTAATGAAAGACCTTTTATTACTGCTTAAAATCTCATTACTCATTATTTCTTGGTTCACATTTTCTATTTCTTCTTAATTCAGTCAGTAGATTTTTAAAATTATTTTTATTTCAATAGATTTCAGGGTACAGGCAGCTTTTGGTTACATGGATAAATTCTTTAGTGGTAATTTCTGAGATTTTTGTTTACCTGTCACCTAAGGAGTATACACTGTATGCAATATCCTTCACCACTCTCCCAAACTTGACCCAGCCTTGGTAGGTTTTTGTGTTCAGGAACTGATCCATTTCTTCTGGATTTTTCATATTGTTGGCATATCATTAATTGTGCATAGTAGTTTCTTTTTTTTTTTTTTTTTTTTTTTTTGCGACGGAGTCTCGCTGTGTCTCCCAGGCTGGAGTGCAGTGGCGTGATCTCGGCTCACTGCAAGCTCCGCCTCCCGGGTTCACGCCATTCTCCCGCCTCAGCCTCCCAAGTAGCTGAGACTACAGGCGCCCGCCACCATGCCCGGCTAGTTTTTTGTATTTTTAGTAGAGACGGGGTTTCACCATGTTAGCCAGGATAGTCTCGATCTCCTGACCTCGTGATCCACCTGCCTCGGCCTCCCAAAGTGCTGGGATTACAGGCTTGAGCCACCGCGCCTGGCCGTGCATAATAGTTTCTTATGAACTTTTGTATTTTGGTTGCATCAGTTGTAATGCCTCCTTTTTAATTCCTGATTTTATTTATTTGACGCTTCTCTCTTTTTTTCTTGGTTAGTCTTGCTAAAGATTTGCCAATTTTGTTTATGTTTTTATAAAATTAGCTCGTCATTTCATTGATTTTCTGTGTTGCTTTTAGGTCTCTACTGTACTCTGATTTTATTATTTTCTGTCTAATGTGAGTTTATTTTATTCTTGCTTTTCTATCTTTGAGATCCATCATTTGGTGGTTCATTTGAGAGCTTTTTTTGATGTAGACATCAATTGCTATAAACCTCCTTCTAAGGACCACTTTTGCTGTATTTCATAAATTTTAGTATGTTGTGTTTTCATGTTAATTTGTCTTGAGAATTTTTTTTTTTTTTTTTTTAGCTGGAATTTCACTCTTGTTGCCCAGGCTGGAGTGCAATGGTTCCATCTCGGCTCACTGCAATCTCCGCCTCCTGGGTTCAAGTGATTCTCCCACCTCAGCCTCCCGAGTAGCTGGGATTACAGGCATGTGCCACCACACCCGGCTAATTTTGTAT